GGGAACGGAGCGAGGCCGGTGGAGTAATTGATAATGAGCGACACCTGCACCACTCACCGGTCTCGAGTCCCACGGCTCTCGGCCCCACCCCCACTCGTCACAGTTATGTAGTCATATCATTAGATGGCATTTCATTTGTATTAATGTTACAGTGATTACGGTAAATGTTTATGTGAAATGTACTTGCTCAAAATGTGCGTTTGACCAGCACGTATGTTCTTTTATTTGTGATTGGTCAGTATTTTACCTACTCCCACCCCTTTGCAGGTACTGAGAATTCTGATTGGAGAAGTTGGTGGAGAGTGAAGAGGGAGAGACAGAGGAGGCAGATTGAAAGTGATGTCGCAGTTTTTTTCTCTCTTTTGTTTCGGAAAGGAATACGAAAATAACCACTAAGTGGCTAGATCTTATATTTAATGAAAGTAGGAAGTGATAAAGAACCTTTCTTTCATTTGTGTCATTTGTTTACTCTGACTAAGAGTTTAAAGAGATTTACATTTGTTACAGCTGCTGCTCGCGCTGTAATCTCCCTTTTCTCTGACGAAGTGTAAGAGACTTTGATGTGATGATGGACCAGAGTTTCTTAATCATTTCGAGGAATAAGTATACAGAATGGAGGAACCAGATAGCGTTCTAAATCCCCACGCGGTTTAGAATTCCTCTGGCACTGCGGGATTTCTCGTCATCCAGCGGACCGCGGGTGAAATATCAGACGAATACGGAGTTTCTAACAAGTTTGTTGGACAGCACGTGTGTTGACACAAGCGGACACAGGCACTCTTGTTTGTTTATTTAGCTCTTCGGAGCGAAGAGGCCATTTGTTGGGTTTAACGGCCACACCGTTCTCAAGCGACGATGCAGGCCTTCAACGTATAGGAATTATTGAAACTGAGAGTGTGTGTGTGGGCCCACATTACACCGTTGCTATTTAGCTCGTTTCATTTGATTTATATTGAGTATTTGCATTCTGACTGCTGTTTAGTGCCATATTTTCACAAAGGAAGTGGATTACTGTTTCTTACTGATACAAGTTAAGTATTAGCTATTAGTTGAGTACCAAAACAAGGGGAGTCCGCTTTTAGTTATTTTTAGATACACAGTTGGAATCAGCTTCCAGAAGAGATCAGATGCGCTAAAATATTAGCCACATTTAAATGCAGACTCAAAACTCATCTGTTTAGCTGTGCATTTATTGAATGAGCACTGTGCTACGTCTGAACTGATTGCACTGTATTTTATGTATAATCATTTTCTATTTTTAACTGTTTTAAATTCATTTTATTTCAATTTCTAAATAATTGTAAAAGTTTTTAAGTTCCGTTTTATTGTTATGATTTTTTTAATGATTATTTTACTTCCTTTTATGTAAAGCAATTTGAGTTACCATTGTGTATGAAATGTGCTGTATAAATAAACTTGCCTTGCCTTACCTTACCTATTGTTATTTGAGTATCAGGTATTAAAATTACCTTTAGAGAAATTTCATGTGAAAGAAAACAACCAACGCACGTTGTATTTAATTTCATCCATTTACTCTAGATTTATATTATTTTCTTTCTTTGATTTCATTTTTTTTTAATAAATTATGTGTGAATTGCTAAGAACTTGCCCTTAGTGATTTACATTACCAATTGTTCAGAAAGACCACCACTTAACATTTAATTTAAGTACAGTGATCAGTGGGAAATGGAAAGGAAGTAGGTTAGTTACGTCGGGAGACACATCATTAGAAACTGGGTGCTCCGCCCATTAGTGGAAAGGGTAAGGGGCACTACACATAGAAACATTCAGGAGTGCCGAAAATTATTGTCAGCGCTGTCCTGCGATTTATCAGCTTAAAAATAGAAAAGTTACAGCTGCACAGACAAGCGAGTTAAAGTCATTTAATATAGACGTGGGCTAATTGTAGTGTTCCAGTAAACCATGTTAAAACTATTCTTCTAGTATAGTGCATTTATTTTTCATTTACTGTAATAATTTCTGAACAGACGTTTGTGAAATTTCAAAACATACTGAAATATTTTAGCCGCAAATTTCGTCATGGAGCGAAGGCGGAACGGCGTTTCTGCTCAGAGGAGTGGCGAGTGGAGCGGGGAGTGGGAAATACTGAGCCCGGAGTGGAGCTGGAGTGGAGTGATTGTTGAATGCTTGGAGCACACAGGGGAAATTGTTGCAGCTCCACTCCGCTCACATACTCTGCTGCCCACTGCTCCGGGTGTGTGTTCACTGTGTGTGTGTGTGTGTGTGTGTGTGCGCGCACTTGGATGGGTTAAATGCACAGCGCAAATTCCAAGTATGGTGTCCCATTCTGTTTTGTTAATGACATGTTAAACAGCTCATGCTCTTGAGTACAATAAGCAAACTAACATGCAGTACACTCTGTCCCTTTCATTCTAATTAAATATATATACAGTTTGATCTATATATTTTAGTGTGTCCAGTGCTGTGTTTGAAGAGTGCTCTTGTGCATAAATGTGTAAGGGAACCCCAAAGTATCACGAAAGAGGAAATCGTGAGGAATCAAATGTCAAATAAAGCAAAACGACAGGGAACAAAAACAGTGAAGTCATCATCAGGTTCAGTGTTCGTTACAGCAGCATCTCTGAGATCTCGAACTGATTAATTAGCAGAAGCTATTACTCCATCACCTGCACATGACATCATTAACGACCAAATGACAGAGCTTAGATCATGGCACTGTGGTTTTGGGAAACAGTCATGACTAGTTGGTTAGTTACTCCAGTGATTCTTCATACTATGGTAGTTAATCAGCGAGTTATATTGCTGTATGTGAAATGCACCCCTGCTTTCTAGTATTGATACATGTGACTTTTTCAATAAAAACAGCAACTCCAAACAAATATACTAATCAAATCTGTGCACTTAAAAAAACTACATTTGCCAGAGAGGAATTGTCAAGATTAGAGGATCTGGTATCACATTAACTGGGACATATTCAGTGATGTATGAAGAACAGAGCCCTGAACTATTAGTCACAGTCTGGAAAAAACTGTCACTAATACAGTATACAGTATATTTCACTCACCCGGCAGCATGTGGATCACTGATGATTCTCACAGGAGGCTCTTTAATATCACACAGAGACACTGAGGAGTTCATCTGATACAGTCTAAATCCAGCACAGAGGGGTTCAGTGAATGTGGTGTTGAATGTGTGTAAGTGTGTGAGTGTGTGTGTGTCAGAGACGCTGTAGAAGGACAGAGTGCCGGCCGACACGTCTACATACACTCCTACTCTCTTAGAGGATGAACGGACGGTGGGTATATAAGTGTATTTATTATTGTGCCAGACAGTGAATCTATTATTAGAGCAGAACAGACTCCAGGATTTGTCACTGAATCCAAACCAACAGTCACTCCATCCTCCTTTCCTGCTTATTCCTTTATATGACACTGATATAATAGCAAACCTCCCACTCCATTCAGTCTCCCAGTAACAGCGTCCAGTCAGACTCTCAACACACAGAACCTGAGGAGCATATTCAAATCTCTCTGGATGATCAGGATATGGCAGAAGATCTTCCACACTTGTGATCTTCCTGTTCTCATCAGACAGCATGAGTCGAGTGTTTGCTGTGTTTGGATCCAGTGTGAGATCACAGGCATCTGAACACAAGAAGAGAGAAACATCAAGAACAACACAACAGTGAAGATGTCTGTGTGTGTTTACAGCTTTGACTGTATTTGCAAAGTCCAGAATCTCCTCACTATTCACAGATGTCCTCACTATTCAGTGTTCTTCACTATTTTTTCTCTATAAGCAACAAAGTGTAAAGATGCTGTGAATAAGAGATTGATTTTGCAGTAGAGACAGATTTTATGATTGTAACAGGAGTTTTTACTGGTAATGGTACCGACTAATCTAGCGCAAGCGTTAGTTCAGGCAGGCCATGTAGGCAGAGTTCCGCAACAGCTTACTATCAGTTGTTCAGATCCCTCCAATCCCAGCGATTCTCCTATCTCAGGTACATGCATATATATGTGGCACTATCACTCACCTCCAGCTTAGTCAAGCTCGCATCCAACCCTCTCTGCCACCAAGACAAGTTTCCCAAGCAATCCCACTATCATTATCTTGATGTTATGCTGATGGTTCCGGGGGGTTATTACAGGCAGCTAATATTTATATATATTGTTTTGCTGAACCCCACACACGAAACCATACCACCAAACCAAATGTTGTGTATAATCAATACATTATGTTTTTTACTGCCAGAGTGGTCCTGACTGAACTGAAATTTTGGTATCGTGACGACACTAGTGCAAAATAATATCAGTAATGTTTCAACTGATTAATCTTTTGGTTAAGCTTTGTAGTCATATATCACATTAAAACCGCAAAAGATAAAAGTATTTACACAAGAAATATAAACATAACTATTAACTATAAGAAATAAAATATAATTAATCAATTAATAATTAACAGTCCAGCTGTCAGAAAAAATTAACTTTTTTTAAATATGTAATTTACTGAGGAAACTAAAGCATGATAAATATAGATTACTCAAGAAGAGTGTGTGTGTTTGTAGACCTACACTTTCGTAGTCCTGCTCTCATCCTGCTCTCTCCTCCATGATCCACACTGTAAACACAAAACCACACATTCACAAGTTTACACTTACATATAATCAGACCGAGAGAATATTAAGCCTATTTGGCATGCTGTCTGAGGGGAGGCACTCGGAATATAGCCCAAACCCAGAGAACTCCCCCAAAGAAGCAAATAACCAAGAGACCACCGCCAGAGAACAAACTGACTAAAACCTCTCTAAAACTGCGTGCCATAAAAGAAATGGGTTGGAGTTTGCGGGGAGGTGACAGGGCAACTGGGAGGTAACCTGTGCGGAGAGTATGGATGCGTTTTATAAGATTGTGGAGAGTAATGTGCCGTCTGGCATCCAGGTGAGAAGGTTGGGAAATGTTTAATTTCTTTGATCAGGAGGGAGGTTTGAGAATTAGTTATTTCAAGGGAGGGAGTGCCGTAAATTAGTTTGTGATAAAACTGGATGCCACTTCCGTAACCTTTGATGGACCCGACTTGAAGGCCTTTAACACTGTTAAGGTAGGAGATAAAGGATGTGATAGAGAGCAGGGAGAAATCAGGAAAAAGCAGCTTAAATGAGAGGTGGAATGCTTTTAAATATTTCCATGCTGTGAGGAAAGACTGGAGGATTCTGGGAGAAACTGCTTGGAAGAAAGAGTCGAGAGATGTGTCAAGGAGAGGTTTTAATGGATGTGTTACGGGAATATTATAGGTCGTTTCCACTGAGCGGTACGGTTCGGTACAGTACAATACAGTACGATTCGGGACGGTAAACCCTGGTCCGGCTACAGTACCCTTCCTTGATAGGTGTGGTGTGTGCCGGAAATTAGTGATCAACTTCATTCTCGCGAGAATAAGCGCAACATTGTGTTTGTGCACTCCAGTTTGTTCTTTCTTAGAGAGAAATGGTATCTGTGAGGATTTCTACAAAATTATGTTGGCATTAGTGGAATTGCATTGTCATGGATCAAATCTTACTTATCTGATCGTCATCAATTCGAGATATCATATTGATCACAAGTACTGTATGGAGTACCACAAGGCTCAGTACTAGGACCGTTGCTTTTCACACTTTACATGTTACCCTTGGGAGATATCATCAAGAAACATGGTGTTAGCTTTCACTGTTATGCTGATGATACTCAGCTCTATATTTCTTCGTGGCCCAATGAAACATACAAATTCGCAAACCTAACGGAATGCATAGTTGATATAAAAAACTGTATGACTAGTCATTTCCTAATACTAAATTCTGAAGAAGAAAAAAAACAGGTTTTAATTATTGGACCAAAAACCTCCAAATGTAATAACTTAAAACTCAGTCTAAGACTCGATGGCTGCTCTGTTAATTCCTCGTCATCAGTTAGGATTATTTGAGAGCAATCTTTCCTTTGAAAGTCATGTTTCTAGCATTTGTAAAACCGCATTTTTCCATCTTAAAAAAGTCTAATTTGCATATTATGACGTCATCAGGGGGTGGCCATCTTGAATTTCATCATATTCAGGAAATAGTAGATATTGAATTGATGTTTGAACTTATTTGCATGTTTTTTTTTGTTTTGTTTCATATTGAATGGATGTTTGAACTTATTTGCATGTTTTTTTTTGTCATTTTATCCTCATTCCAAATGATCAGGAAAAGAGGAAATCAACAGTAAAACAGGAGAAAGTAGTAAATTATTACTATATTACTGTGCCATAGTAAAATGCATGTACCTATTTTTTGATTAGTTGAACAGCTATCTGCACAATCAGGTATCTAGGTGACACAGTTTATAGTTATTGAGAGTATGGTACCTCTCATGGCATGGCACAGCGCACTCC